AAAAAATCACGCACATCAATTATCTTAGTTATGCTACTTGAGTTCAGCATTGTCATTGTTTGCTTACTTTTCTGCTTCCTTTTCAAGCCTGGCTGCATCTAAAACACACTGCGCGCTGAGGCAGTCTGTGAGGCATCGGTAAATAGTCAATCAAAAAAGAATAGGTGCGAAGCTATCGATCACAGCCCAGTGAACGGCACTGTCTGTCCAAATGGGCCGAGTTTCCGGCGGATCGGTTGGATGGAACAAACGGTAATTTACATTGTAGAGTCGCTATAGTTTTTCTTTGTCAAACATAAGTTAACTGTCGATCGATCTGAATGTACTCTAAGGGCTGAATGTGAACGTACGTGAACAACCAAGTTCGGTCAGGATCGTCGGTGAGACGATCGTAGAATACCCGCATCACTTCATGGGCCCACAATCGCGAGAATGTCTTTTTATCCTCCACGCGGTCTTTCTGAATCAGGCACACGCCAAGGATCACCCGACTGAAGTCGCGCAGATTAAACAAATAGTGTGACTTTGCTGGGGTTGGTAACAGATTCTCCATGGCCGCTTTGTACACTTCCAGAGTAGATGCGACAATGGTCTGACCGACTGTAATGTATTCGGAACTAAACTCCTGGGACTGGAGATCATAGAGTTAAGGGACAAGGGGATGGACAATCAGCAATGATAGAGGAACGAATAAAGGCTGTCGATAGCTCTCGTGTCTACAATAAAACAAAATCATTGAAATAAATCACTTCTGGATAAAAAAAATCATGAATATTGTAGTCGTTAATTTTGCTCAGTAACTGAGATCACATGTGATAGCCTTTACGTAAACTGTCTGTTACCGAAACTTATTCGATAAACGGGGTATGAAAATGGACTTTCAAATTTATCGCCGTCTGCATCACAAAATAAAATTTACTCCCCCCGCCTCAACCACACAAGTACGCAACTGGAAATGCTGTTTCGAGCGCGCGCTTGGCATCTGAATTCGCCCAAACAACTTACTCGCATATAGGTCATCATGAGCGATGAGAAAATCCGTGTCATGGTTTCATCACTGAACGGCGTCATACTGACCAGTCGGAAATGTCGCATGAACCGCTGAGTCACATCGTTTCGTCCTCCTCCAGGCGGTCCCATGGCTGTGATTAGCTGGATATCTTGAAGCAACAGTTTGGTGGTATCTTTCAGATCATACCTGATTAAGGCACAAATGAAATAAGATAGTGGAGAACAGGGCTTGGAAATGAATAAGCCAAAATGTGGTGAATCGCATTACGAGCTAAGTACACTGAAGTGAATGATTTAAAAAAGATGAGAACAAGTTTGTGATAACCAACAAATAGCACTGAACAACTGTTTCGTCCTGTTTCGGACTCGTCAGCAGTGAGTACTTTTGTGTACCTGTCAGGACTGGAACCGCGATTCTTCGGGTTACGAAATCAATAGTGCCTGGTGCCTTTGAGAAACCGAATGGGCTTATGCAAACATTCACCATATAAATAAGGACAAGTGTTATACGTAGCTGAGATAACCGAAGATTATTCAGTAACTAATTTCTGTTAAACATTTACCACTTTCCAATGATTAAAGACACCTCAATTTATGTAGTTGACAAGTGTGCCACTAACCTAGTTGACATCAACGCTCTGGGACTAACCAGATCACAGGAGATGATTGCAAAACAAGACATTTTCGCTCTATAATCGTTGTTCGGAAAACCCTTCACTACTCGGACAATGCCATTCACATTGATGATCTAAATTCAATTTAGAGAAATCATCATCCATGGTGAAAACTCATCTCTATGATACTTGTCCAAGTACCGAATATGAATGCAGTATTTGTATTCCTAAAATTCTAGTCATTATGTGCAAAGGACTAGCTCAAAGCAGTAGACATAGTCTCGTGCTAGTCGCGAATTTATGGAGCAAATCTTTATCTGCCGTCAGATGCTTGACCATTATCAATTATTGTAATGTTTTTTATGTACGATCACCCATCGATTCCGTTGATGGATGTGTTATGTGATTGCCGGTTAAAGAGTAAAGTGCACGAGAAGTAGTTCTCAGTTCACAAAGAACTGCAGTCAATCTCATGCTGTGTCGCACCCTTCGGGAATTCGAAAAAGTGGGTAAATTCCAAGAACTGCGACACAACACGGTTAACAGAGGTATATGCTAATAAGTAGTATAAAAATCGGTTGACAGTTTTGTGACAAAATAAACAGGATCGATCAAAAGTACCTTAATCCCGTTAGTTGTTCTCAATGTTTATAATTATGCATTGTTTGTCTATAATGGAATTTAGATTTACCATCCAGGGTATCCTTTGTTTATCGAAGATATTTGAATCTTTTATGACTCCCTCAGCTTAATATCGGTACCTTGAATGCGGTATTCACCCCTTTACAGTTCTGTGTGTCTAGTTATTAGGAAACTAACTATCTTTCTTCAGGGGAACTTTTTCTGACCAAATTATTCCATAATAATTCCAAATTTTCTGCCATTCCGTTGCAATCTTAGGCTAAACACAGAACTGATAATATGACGTTCATCATAATATAAAACTGTTTTAGCTATAGTAATCACATCAGTGTTAACCCATCCAAGGAAAACAAAGGTGAAGCAATTAGAATACATTGAGAAGGAAACAACATCCAAAATGAGTGAAATATCTGTTTCGGGATATACTCAGAACATTGACTTCTTTCCCATACTGAAACTGGTTGTTCGCTGTGCAATCTATTCGTGATTTTCTAGTGAAAAATGTGTACCATTGGCGTCTGTAGATGTCTATTCGTTCGCTCGCTTTTGCTGTCACCAGTGTATATTCAAACTGATTGATGCATTTATCATGACCGCTGTTGGTCGGAGTTAGTTCCACACGTGATGCCATAGCGTGATTCATAAACCATACCTTTTTTAATTTAAGATGTTCGAGTATCAATTTAATGTCATGTTGCTATGTGGATAGTACGATAGTTGGATTACGCCATCGGTTCGCATTGTCTTGTATTTTAGTGATCTTTTTGTCATATTCAGTCCATCCGTGTGGTGAAGGCACGCCTGCTGTACAGCCGAAGTTCACTGGGTCTGCTAAAGATTCGCGGTTGTAGACAAGGTGTGGTTTCTCGCTCGGGTTAGGTGGGCAAACGCCAGGTCTCTTGTTGTAGCGACCTATCCGATCGATCGATAAATGAACCCGTTCGGTCGTGTGATTTTCGGGCCGGCATAGGAGGAGGATACGTTCTGAATCGGATGCTGCTTAAGTTGGCAGAAAATCAACACAAGAGAATCGGTTGTGGAACAATTAGCCATGTGGGAGATTTGGAATGAAAAAGTTCAAGCGATGATGACACTGGGCCAACGCACCATGTTTTTAGCGGTTTCTCTAGCATATTTTCCGGTAGGCGTGAGACGGGAGTTTACTTGGAAGAAATTCCCTCCTGTTCAGCCAACCGAAGGCCATAGAAGCCAGCCTACAGGAAGTACAGCAACTCTCAAGCAGTTAGCGATTCATAAACTAAAAGTGCATCTCACAAACTGTCCTTTGACCGGGATTACGATGACCTTTGGCAAGTGACCTATCTAATTTCATCGGTCATCTAGGACGAGTGAGAGTATCGTTCATTCATTCACACAGGAGCTTCCACGCAACGATGTTTATCGATCACTCGGATCTGATATCGCACTCCACTCACCCGCTTATCAGTTAATCGCGAATGCCGTTCACCCGTTTAAACGTGAATGCGACAGAGCCCACCAACAGACCGAAAGACAGTGGCTTTGGTGACCACTGTAGCAAAAGTGACCACATCCAAGTTCGGAGGCAGCCGTATAAATTTGACGTTGGAGACTACTGCGAATTTCGATATCCCAACAGAAAGAAATCCAAGGGGGACAGATCAGGTGATCTTGGTGGTCATTACATTTACCAATTTTTGTATTTCTGTAGAACCACGAACATTGACCGTACCACC